AGGGAGGCAGTGAAGGACAGGAAGGCCTGGCGCAATATGGTTCATGGGGTCACGAAGAGTCGGACACGACTTAACGACTAAACAAATACCCCTCTCAGGTGTCTTCAAGACCACTGTGTCTGATTGGCTTATTCTTTCGGTCTTGCCAGTGAAAAGGTTTTCTTTTGAGTCTAGCTTGATTTCTGATGACTTCACAGCCATTGGCAAAGTGTTTGAAGGTGGGGGGCTAGGATTGTAAGAATGTAGAATTTGAGGCGACAGTCTGTCATTTAATGCAGTCAAGTGTAATAACTTCAGTAATTCCTTCATTGTTGTGGTCTATGACTGTAGTCTATGGGCTTAACAACCCACTTTAATTACTCAGAGACTTTGCGTTGCACCAAATAATATACACTGTCTCACCTTCTCATAACTCAGTGGAGAACATACATGGCAAAATGATAACATATTATTATTATTATTATTATTATTTTATTTTACAGCTTCTCAGATAAAGAATTTGATGAATCAGTTGGGGACCAAGCAGGATTCTACCAAACTGCAGGAAAACTTGTAAGTATGATCTGAGAAGCTCTTTGAGGTATGCAAGGCCTCAGGGCCGATCATATATTTAAATGAATTTTGAATATCTTAACTTTGAGGTCTAGCAAATTCATAGAATAGAATAATTTAATAAATAATTTCCAACACAAACGAGTTAAGAAAAAAGGAGATTTGTGGATTTGTGCTTCAGTTTTATGAACATGAACAAGGAAGAGAAAAAGAGCAGATACATAGATTACAACAGGAATTGGATAATTAAGTACAATAGCATTCTTGATGTCGATAGTTCTAACTGATATGTCACACTACTGTGTGGATTTTAAAAATGCCCAAGCTCTGGAAGCTAATTAAGCAAAAATTGTTCTTATGAACAAAATCCCCCTGTTACGAGAAGCCAGAAGGAAATCAGATCTCTGCAGGTCAGTCCAATTAATTTTTCCCCAAGAGCTGAATTTAAAAAAAAAATTAAAACAAATGTCAGAAAGCAAGAAACAAGAGAAGAAGAAAAAGAAAATAACGTGGGATAGCCTTTAATACACCAGTGCCCTGTGGGCAGAATCTGCAAAGCAGCTGTTCCATCTGTTGTGTCATAACAGAGTTAAAGCAATTCTAAGAATAGCTTGCACATAAGCTTTAAATAAGTTTCACATTCAAAGCATTTTTTCACCCCTGCATAACAAGAAGCAGTTCTGGGGGGGGGTTGTTTTGTTTTATTTTTGTTTTGCAGTGCTGTTTAAGAGATTGAATGGAGACACTATGAACCCAATCTTTAAAAATTGTCAATGGGGGAAAAATGCTCAAGGAAGAAACAATTCTAAAGAAAAATCAACCTGTTGAATCTGATGAATTAGATTTTGAAAGCCGGATGGATATCTGAGTTAGTTCTCTTTTATTTTGAAAAGCAAAATTTGACTAATCTGGGACTGGGCAAAGAGAGCAGTTTGAGCCAATAATCCAGTTCCTTTCATTCATTCATTTCATTCATTCAATTTAATTCAAAGCTGACTAAAAGAAAAATAAAAGACAGACAGCAATTAGAATTTTTTTTTTAATCTGGGGAGAATATATAATCCAGTTATAGTGGTAGGTTTAATTGAGATAATGTCAAATTCAGCAGGTAAAAATGCAGTAGATCTGGATTTAGGTACCTCAAGTATTGTTCTCAACAATTTATTTTGCACATTAATGGAAAATATTCTAAGTCTGAGAAAATGCTTAGAGATTAAATTTCACACTTTCTTGTTGGCCAACTTTCATTTTCAAAGATTGTCAGATAAAAAGAAAAGCAAGATGCAATATTGATAGAAGGCAACCTCCTTCATACGGCAGGAGTGAGCCCTCCTTTTACATTTCACTGTATTTTGCCCAAAACCTTGGTTTTGCTTTAATAAAAGGCTAATGAGGTTTTTTTGATGGAATACTTAGCTGAGGCATACAAGAGTATAGGAAGGCCAATCGGGGAGCAAGAAACAAGTCATCAGTGTAAAGATGAAATAATTTTTTTTTCTGTCATAATTTTGCTGGGAAAAAGAAATCACCATTCAGATAGATGGCAATATAATTGACAAAGAAGTTAAAAGGGAGTGGAGGTAGGACACAGCTTTGCTAATGTTTCCATTTTAAGAAACAAGAGAATGAAACTGAAGTACATTTTTGTTCCTAGACAACAGCTGCAACATACAGCAAACCGGCTTGCCAAAGAGACCAATGAATACCTGAAGGAGCTGGGCTCCCTTCCTCTGCCCTTATCTTCCTCAGAACAGGTTTGTGGGTTTATCTGTAGTTTTCATGGAATGGGAGAAAACCAAACAGGTTTGCAGATCACATTAAACCATTGCTTCTTTAATCATGGTTTACCAATGTGCTATAATTGCATGTGTTTGCACATGTCACAATAAGCCATGGTTTACAAACCACAGTGGCTGAGTTTGCAAAACGGTATGTCAAAAATCAAAACCAAGCATAATACAATATCAATTAGTGTGGTGATATGTGAACTTTGCCTTAATGTTATATTTAATCATCTTAAAATGGTAATACTTTCTTTACCTGGGGGCATGGATCTGGGGGTGGGGGGCATTCATAGGCTGGTTTACATATTTAAGAAGCTGAACTACTGGCACATTCTAGTTCTCAATGTGAATAGGGTCAAATTAGTGTTCTGGAGGAGGGGAATAATTTCTCATTCCATCTGCTGTAATAACGGAGATTAAAGGTACACACACATAGTTGATACTAAATGAATTTTCAGTACCTGCCAATGTATGAAATGTGTGTAAATCATCCTTCTCCTGGTTTCTCTGGAAGTGTTTGGATTTCTGCTTCTAATATTGTAGTTGCAATTATTATGTTGCTCAAACCAGCTTACATGGGGTCTCCTTTCACTTTATCCTGGGAACATGTATATGTTATCCCCAGCAGCCCTCCTGGGGATAAGAGGTTGGGCTGAGAGTGACTGAACCAGAGTCACTCCCTGAGTTTTCATTCTGGTGGATGGAAGTTAACCTGGGCCAACACCTTAAGCAATACACACTAGTTCTCTGTCCCCAAATTCCCAGTCATATGGCTGAACAAGAAATCTCCTTAATATCCCTTTAATAAAACAATAGACAAAAGTGGTCTGAATCAGTCATGAATGTTGAAACTTGTAAAAATATCCTGTGAGAGCTAGAAATAAAGTATGAATATTTCTGTTGAGGTTGGTGAGTTTTCTTTTACAATCATGGATAAAATTCTTCTTTTCTAGCGCCAGCAGAAACTTCAGAAGGAGCGTTTAATGAATGACTTTTCTGCAGCCTTAAATAATTTTCAAGCAGTGCAGAGAAGAGTCTCGGAGAAAGAAAAGGAAACTGTCGCCAGGGCAAGAGCTGGCTCTCGTTTCTCTGTAAGTTGGTAGCCAAATAGTCCACAAAGGAATAACTTAGAGGTTTTTTTCCTCCAAATGTTTTAAAGAAAAAATAGATGGCAAATATCTTATTAACCTGATGATTCTTATGACCCTATCTTTTAGTTTCACATCCTTTACTCTGTTTATTCTAAAGGATGTACTATCAGTGGTTCCCTATTTCTAAGCAAGGAAAGTTCTGAAATACATCTGGGCTTTAGAAACATTCAGATTCCCACTTGGAAAGAATGAGTGGTTTGAATTTGGTTGCTTTGCACTTCTTAAGTGAATTCCTTTCTTTATCTTCTTGTCCTGATAATTGTCTCTGTCAGGACAGTAGCTAGGATGTGAGGGCGATCTGGCTGCCACATCTGTCACCCCATTGATCGCCAGAATTGATTCAGCTAGTGTGGCTGGCTAGGCGGGTGTCTCCTCCCTCCCTCACTGCTGCATATGCATCCCTCCCAAAGCTGCGCGCTTGGTGGAAGAGGATGAACATCCCAGATAGAAGGATACCAATCTTCAGTTAAGAGTATACAACAGCCGCACTTCCCTGCTAGAACCTCCAAACGATCTCAAGATCCATTCATAGGACAGTATCTTTCAGTCTTCTCATAGCAAAGCTGAATACAACACTATGCCAATCTTATGTAATTTGGATGGGGGAAATGAGAGTTCAGTTGTTACTTGATGTGAGGGACCATTGATATCTGACTGATGACCGTATTGATGAACAGAAAAAATATTGCAAGTATTCTGAGCGGTGACCTTGAATTGCTTAATTCTTTTCCCCCACTTGTGGCACCCAGCAGTCTAAATTAGATAGACTGAGTGATTCAAGAGGGCACAGGAATAAGTGGTCATGTCATCACAGACACAATGACTTGGTAAGATCTTTGTCCCTTCCTGTTTAGTTCAATTCCGTTTCAGTTGTTCGATTTTCTTAACAACCTGTTCTTCTACTGCGTTGCTTAATTAGCATTCTTTTAAATAGAAGAACTAATTTTGTCTTGGATATGTCTGCCAAGTCCATAACTTGTAAGAAACTGTGTTGTTAATTAGGCCAGAAAGGATCTAATTCCTGCATCATATTCTCCCAGTGTAAATTTTTGGCTGATCTAGAATGGTTTCTTTCCAGGGAGATGAGAGACGCAGGGAAGAGCAGTTGGTCTCATTTGACAGGTAATGCCTACTGATTTCTGATACCCATCACCTTGTTTCTTCAGTTGGAAAAACCTTCCTAATGCACATTCAATGAGAAAATTGAATTTATGTGCCTGCATTCACAGCTTGTTCATATGACCCACAGCAACCTTTATTCAGAAATAATGGCTTGATTCAGATACTGGAGCCAAATCATTGTTTAGCTATTGGGGTTTCCTCAGGCTTTGTACTCATTCTCTTGTGCACTCTGATTTCCTTATGGACATCCTGGTTGGCAGCCATTATAGCTCTGGGACAGCCAAGTAGGGTTTCCTAAAACCATCCAAACCAGAATCAGAAATCCAGATTGAATCATAGTCTCTGGTTCAAGTTTAGAAGTAAATTATAGTTTGTGGTCACAAATTTCTGGCATCCTAATTGAGTAAACCTCTTATAGTAAACCAGGAAGCAAAAGAAGGAATTGGAGGGTGAGGAGTCAAAACTCAGTCAAACTTCTGAATCTGGTTTGTCATATTGAGCATAAATGTGGATGCAGATTTTCCCAAGTGCCTTTAAAAATGACTTCTTTTAGGCATAGCTGTAAGAGCACTCTTAATTTTCTACTTCATACAACATACTTTCTGATTACCTTAGTTTGTTAGGGTTGAAACCTTATTAAACAATGAAGAACCACACACACACACACACACTCATACATGCACATACTTGATGTACTTTAGTGTGCCACTACATCACAGGGCCATGTCAGCAAAATTAAAGTCTAGGTGTTCAGATATTAATGCTATTGTTTATAAAAATGGTCTTTCAGATTTCAAGGGTGATAGAAACCTATGGATATATCTAGCTGTCTGTCTCTCAGTTAGTTATGAGAGAAAGGTAGTAACATTGTTTTGGGAAATGTACAGCTCTTCCCATATCTTGAATTTAAATGTAAATTCACCAGATTGGTTTAGCTCTATAAAATTCCTAAGCAACTTCCACCCAATTAAAAAATTCCCTTCCTTCCCTTTTTAAATATATAATATATACCGATCAGTGTTAAAACTTATATCTACTAAGATTCTGATTCAGAGTTATAGAACTAATCGTAAGTTGATATATCTAAAGAACATTGTGCTTGGTTGGTCTTGAAAGATAAACAAGATTATTTAAATGGCATTATATGTTGGATTAATAAACAAGCTCTTCCCAGGGCTCTCCAAAAGTTTTGGAATTCAACTTTCAACCAGCATGGCCAAGAATCTAATGCGATGGGACTTCCAGCTTAGACTTTTGGAAATCATGATTTGAATAAGGCTTACTAGAATATTGATCCATTTGAGCTTGGGGATAGGAAAAAGGGATGCCGATTGCCAGGAATTTGTCTTTAAACATGTAACTTTTCTTCTAATTCAGTTAGCTTGCTTCATGTGAAAGTGTTCCAGTGCATAGAGAAGCATTTATAATTACTTCAATATTTCCCCCAGTTTATATTTTAAAAGATTCTGCCTTCTCAGCTCCTTTGGTTTCGAAGGAAGACCACTAAGTACTTTCCACAGCTAAGGAATATGTATCAGTAAATCCAAAAAATATTTGGGTAGCTTTTTCTGATCATCCAGGAATAGCAAGAAGAGTGGATTGTCATTTTTTTCCTTCAGCAATGAAGAATGGGATCAGATGCAGTCTCAAGAAGAAGATGTAGCAATAACAGAACAAGATCTTGAGTTAATTAAGGAGAGAGAAACCGCCATTAGGCAATTAGAGGTAAGCAGCTGATAGATTTAGCTAGATGCGATATTTTTAAAATATATATATATATATATTGAAGAGGTCAACAAGTAATGCTTTGGGTGCCAGATTTTTTTTTCAAAAGCCACCTCAGAGCCCTTCATGTGTGCCCTAGGATATTTATCTACTGTGATACTGTACAGCAGGCCTTTTTGGTCTGATGAGCACTGCTGGAATTTTGAGGACATCTTGGAAAATGATTGGGAAGGCAGTCAGCCTTGTCCATTGGCAAAATGGTTGCCATGAGGAACATAACTAGTTCTGCCCTCTGTAAGATGCTCCTTGCGACTTCTACATACCTGAGTTCTTTTCTGGGCAGATGAACATGGTTCAAACTAAAGCCCTGGATTATAACCACCCATCATTTTGTATTTACTAAAAAGCTTAGGGGGCTGGAGGCGTTTATGGAAATCAAGAAGATGCCTGAAGCTGGCCCTTTACTCTGCAGCATGCCAGTTTCTCATTTTTTTTTTTAAGAAGCAAAAATCACATGGTTCAAGGAGCTGGATAGGCACCAGCGGCAGGATCTAGGGGTACACAGACCTCTCACTGAGGACCTGGGGTATGAGCACAGCTTTTTTCAAGGCAATCTTGAATTATTAACAGTTCAAAATAAGAGCAAAACTTGCAACAGTCTTGATAGTATTTGCCAACTGATATGAATCTTCATAAAGTTCATAAAGTCTCCAACCAGTATTTTGGAAATTAGAAGAATGCTGCAAAGTGCAGGACATAGATATTTTTGTGTATCTTCTTAAAAGATTTGTAAGTAGACAAAGCATAGGATTTTGCAAAATGGGGGTTGCATTTTCACAGCAGTTATTAAACAGAGAGAGGATGCAGTTATCCTTGACTAGGGAGAATAATGGAGGGAAAGGGAAGGAGATTGGAATGGGTGAACCAGACACATAAACTCAAGTATTCTTCTAAGGCTTGAAGGTGACATAGTGCTTGTGATATATGGTTGTAAATGAAATTTCATTTTAAATAATGAACGGCGAGGATTGAATCCAAAGACTCAGCAATACTGGTATTATAGGGCAACAAATAGCTGTACCAAAAAGCCCCTTTACGTAAGTGTACCACTGACAATGAGACCTTGGATTTAAGTCATACTGTTATCTAGAAAAAAAATGCAACAGGAATAATAATATGGCTTAATTATTAGAATAACAACATAAACACATAAGCACAGAATGCAGTAATTTTTCACAAACTTCCCTTTCAGGCAGATATCTTGGATGTGAATCAGATTTTTAAAGATTTGGCTATGATGATCCATGATCAGGGAGACATGATTGGTAAGTAAATAGCGGTGTTTGCTTGACTGCCGAAGTCTGACTTAGCATTTGCTTATCAGATGAGGATTCATCCCAGAGACTTTTGAAGCAAGATGCTCTTTGAGCCAAAGAGGATCCTCAAATATCTTTAGAAATGTGACATCTGTAGTATTGACAACTGCTGATGAAATATATTAGGATGCTCTATGGAATGGTATTTAATAATGCTGCAACTTCTAGAAAACAGCAACTAAAGATTACATTTGGTTGACAGTATTCGATTCTGTGTCTATATTATTTGTATACCCACATTGTATATGCCTATAAGTATACAAACTCTCCTGGTAGATTTTTTTTTTTTTAATCAGCTAGAAAAATTGTGCTAGGAATAGCATGTAAGGTTATTATTCCTTTCAGATAGTCCCCTATCTGAAACTAGACTAACAATTATGGATCAATGCAACTAAAGGGTGTGCAACACCGCTAATCACACATTGAAATAACTTCGCAGCATATCTAAGCAGGCTTAACTGAAGCAGGAGTACATCATATAATGGTGATGGTTGTTTTTTTTAAGTGGGTGCTCTTTTTCTCTATAGATAGCATAGAAGCAAATGTAGAAAATGCAGAAGTCCATGTGGAAAGTGCCAGTGAACAATTGCAGAGAGCTGCTTATTATCAGGTAATCTTTGTACAGCCCCAAAGTCTTCCAGAATTAGAAGTGGGAGGAGCAGAGCTGGGATTTCAGTCTATCGTGCAGAAGTGCTTTGTCTGTCTCTATTTCAGTTATGAATGTTTTCAGTTCCAAAATAATGAGAAATACATAGCTTTTCCTATAGGGACTATTGCCACTGAGTCCCTTTGATTGGGGGGCACAAAGGGCACACAGCAGCCCATCTTCTACATTCCACCCCTCAATTGACCCAGCTTTGGTCCTCCTCCAACTGTATTTTTAGCCTTAACAATATCCCTCAGCCTTGGGATAGTTAGCTGTCCACTTCCCACCCTCCATCACATGGTGTGCTTTTTAAAAGTACTAATGATACCTTGACATTGCAAAGAACAGGGCAATATACGATGAAGTTTGGTTTAAAATGAAAATTTAATAAAATAAATAACTCAGTCATAAAAAAGTCCATACAAGACTGACCAGTTAAAAAGCATAACAAGGTTTGTTTTTTTTAAAACCTAGCATTAAACATATGAAAGAGTGGGTTTTAATTTACCATTTCTGGAAGAGCATTCCATATTTGGAGGGTCACTATCAAAAATGCCTGCCCAGCATATTAAAAATTCAGAAGATAAATGATGCAGTAAATAATTCACTTGAATGATCAAGAAGGTGCTTTTAAGTTGACCACTATGTTCGTGGCAATACTAATGATCCAATAAGTGCTTTGAACAGGAAAATGTATTCTTTTCAGAACAGTAGTTTCTAATCAACCTGTTAAAAACTTGTTTTATCTGAAGTTTTAAAAAGACGATTTATCCAATTCATTCCATTGTCCTGCTACTCACACTTTTAAATTATGTTAGATGGTTTTCATTGTAACCTAGTGGGAGCTGAATTTTACATCTCTTTCCACTTTCTCAGTATCCCTATACCCTATTGGTTTTTTCTTTGTTTTTTAAAACAGAAGAAATCACGCAAGAAGATCTGCATCCTAATTCTTGGCCTGGCTTTTGCTTGTCTAATCTTGGTATTAATTGTCTGGCTGCTATCAAAATGAAATATTTCTGTGGAATTAGATACAAGATTAATATTTCTGCCATGAGACAAGCCTAAGGAATGAGGGGATGGAGGTGAGATGGAACACAAACTGATTTTCCATTAGTAATTATAATATAAAAAACTAACATGAAGATAACTAGTTCTTCGACTTAGTGAACCATGAAGACAGTTCATGTTTATTTATTTTATGTAATTAAACTTGTGGAGGACTTTTTTTTTTGTTGTTTTCCCAGAGATTCCTGTCCCAAATATAAAGTATTGAAGGATGTGATCAGTCATCTAGATTAGTTTGTTAATTGCCATAAGCACTACAGATCTAACTTTTTTTAATGTGTACTGCTTTTATAAGTGACTTAGAAATAACTCCCAAGCACAAAATCCCACTGCCGAGCAATTTTTAGTGATCCACACAGCTGTTCCAGATGTATATCCCCCTGCAGGAAACAGCCACTTCTTTGAAACAGCAGTTCCTGAGTTGCATTGTGTACTTCCAGAAGCTGTTTTGAGTGTAGCCCAGTGAGTTGGGGGGAAAAATGGGACCTTCTGTAGCAGACCGTTTTTTTTAACTTGTGAAGAGAGAATGTCTCAATTTTCTAAAAGAATGGTATAGCTAATATGAGACACGTTGAAAATGGCTCTCTTCAGAAACCCACTTAGTAATGATTAGTCTAAAGATATTTGTATTTAAAGTCCTGTTTATCTGTTCCATTTTTGTGGTGACTGTCAATTGTTCAGTAGTATATCCAAATGTCTTCTTGCCTAATGAAGGTTTTGTTGGAGAAGGGCCATCCTACTGCCTCTTCTCAACTTTGTACCACTAGCACATACATTAAATACTATGGCATGTAAAAAGTTGCAGCAGAGTTTGACATGGAAAGATGACATAGAGAAAGTTATGCATCTTTTCTTTTAGGATTTCGGTAAATATTTCTGTCCAACAGGTTACTGGTTGGGAATACCAATTTCCTTCCTAAGCTGTCTGGGGATATTGCAGTCAAATGTACTAGAAAAACAAAAATTTCCTGAAAGAAGATTGCACCGTATTTTGGGCTGGTTATGACTTCTGACCTCCTTTTCATATAGTGAAAGTAAAGTAGTTTATTCTTTGCCTACTGGAACCTTACGTGGGTTGAAACAAAACATTTTCCATATTAAGACACTATAGGAAAGTGTTGCTCTGAATAGCAAAAGAAGCTTTAAACCTTTTATACCAAGGAGGATTAGAGGTATGCCAGTCTAAGATTAACTATGATGTGTCTTAATGGAAACCCATGGGTTCCATTTTACATCTGATTTGGACTTTTTAGATTGCTCAGAACTGATATTTTTAGTGAAATTTCTGGGTGGGTTATTTGGGTCAATGATACTCTTAAAAGAAAGTGGATGTGGAAAGCCTGAAATGTTGACTTGGTAACATTCTGTATGCAAGTAATGTATGTTTTTCTCCTGACATGCTCACTATTTATTATTTCTCATATTTTACATATCTAAATGACTAAACTGTGAAAGCTGTGTGAAGAACGATGCCCTCAGTTGCACATTTTTCTTTGTACTCTTACTCCATCATTCCATCCATTTAAATATCAATAAACATTTTTAGATATTTGACATGTCTTTCTTTTAGCAGAAATCTCCTGAAAGGTTTAAATCACTTTAAATTCTTGAGAAAATAGTTGACTTCAGTTGAAGGCCAGGATGACATTGCTAGAAATAAAGGTGATTATGGCTTTTGTTCCTTAGAGTCCATACCAAGTGATGCATCAAGTGTTACCTATCAGTTGAAGATTTCTGTTTCATGCCTCTGAACACCAACTTAAATCCATAAAACCTTATGTCCTAATAAGGTTTTATAATGCACAAGATTTTGTACATTTGCTGCCATAGACTGTCTCTGTAGAAGTCATTGCCAATGAAGATTATGTCTGGAGTAATAGTGAGGTTTCTACCCCTATTTGTTACCAAATTCAACTCAATTTTTATTTGATTGAATATATTTTATTTCAGATAGACTACTGCAATGCGCTTACATGGGGCTACCCTTGAAGAGTATCCGGAAACTACAGCTGGTCCAGAATGCAGCCGCGTGGGCTATTTTTGGAGCCCCAAGGAGGGCCCATGTAATGCCACTGCTCTGCGAGCTGCATTGGGTACCAGTTTGCTT